AAAGGGTGTAAATTTATCAGAAGCAAATACAGACTCCCAGGTAGGGAGGAGGTGTCAAGGGGGTAAGCCACAAAGCCCTTTTTCTAAGGTTTATAAATGCTGTAGTTCTTTGTCTCTTGATACTCCCTTCTAATTGGTCATTCTTTTTGCAGAATATCAGCTTCAAAGCCAAAACACCATGTGGTGCCCCCCACACCCCCGCTTTCTCTACCTCTTATCTTGTAACATTTCTCTATCTCCTGTGAAAATCAGCTTTCCTCTTTCTCCCATTTGTCAGCATTTCTCTATCCTCTATGAAAGTTTGTTTCCTTTTTCCCTATACCCTGTGGCTTTTCCTTATCTTCTGTGAAGGGATGTCTTCTTCTCCCCTTATCCTGTAGCTCCTTTTCTCTCTCTCTCTCTCTCTGTGAATGTATGCCTTCTGGCGGCTCCAAGCTCTCACCTATGCATTCCTCCCTCATAGACCTTCTTTATTCCTAAAACTCCCCAAACCTGCCTATTTTATCCCTAAAACTCCTTTCACAACTATACTGTTACCTCCATGCTGTGAGAAAGCTCAGGTTGCATGGAGAGGCTTCATGGAGAGAGAGAGAACGATGCCCAATTATTGCCCAGCTGTTCCAGCTATACCCGCCCAGGTATCAGACATGTGACTGAAGAAGCCTTCAGGTGACTCGAGCCCCAGCTACCATGTAGCTACAACTACATGAGTGAGAACTGCTCAGCTGAGTTCAGACAACCTTAGGACTGTCAGTGTAAAAAAAAATGTGTGCATGGGTATAGCAAATGGCATGTACTAAAAGGGTCATATAAGTACTATATGGATTAGTTTCTTAGGATCACCATAATAAAGTATGACAAAATGGGTGGTTAAAACAAGAGAAATCTATTCTCTCACAGTTCTGGAGAAAGATCCATCTTTTTGGTTGTGTTAATCCTCACCCTTTGGATAATTTTTTCATTGATATTTAGATAGAGTGAAAGGAAGGGATGGGGAGGGAGGGAGAAAAACATCAATGTGAGAGAGACACATCGATTGGTTGCCTCCCACACGAGCCCTGCCCGACCCAGGCTGGGGGTCAAACCTGCAACCCAGGTATGTGCCCTTGACTGGAAATCGAATCCAAGACTCTGTTGTGTGAGCAGATGCTCTAACCACTTAGCAGCACAGTCAGGACTAGAGGAAGTTCAAAATCAAAGTGTCAGCAGGGTCATGCTCACTCTCAGACTTTAGGCCCCGTCCTCTCCTAGCCTCTGGTGGTGGCCTTTGATCCTTGGCCTTCCTTGGCTTCGACTGCATCACTCCAATCTCTGCCCCTGTCATCAAATGGTGTTTTCTCTTTGTGTGTCTGTCTGTATGTCCAAATTTTCTTCTCTTTCAAAGGACACCAGTCGTATTGGACAAGGGCTCGCCCTAATGACCTCATTTTAGCTTGAGTACACCTGCAAAGACCCTGTTTCCAAGTAAGATCACATTCACAGGTGCCAGTGGGAACACACTTCAACCCGTAACAAGCCCAAGTGGAAGGTGCCCAAGTGACTATCAGCAGTGGAACGGATAAATAAATGGTCACATACTGAAATACCACAGAGCAGTGAGAGTAAACATACAATATGGACGAATCTCAAAGCATGATGGTGATGGACATAATAGAGTTCATACTGCAAAATTCCCTTTACATAAAGTTCAAAACCTTGGGGAGAGGTCGTAATTTCTTTCAACTTGGTCTCAGTGATTACCCAGTATATTCACTTTGTAGAGCCAACAATCTATACTTTTATTTATGTTGAATATCAGTAAAATGTTTTTTTTTTCTTTTAAAGTCCCTTTACTCATGAAGCTGATCATTCAGGAGAGATGGTCAATAATCAAAATAAATAGGAAAAAATGATAGAGTATTAGTTGGGGCTATGTGCCGAAGACAGAGATAAAGCAAGGAGGGGACCAGCGAGGACTGGAAAGGGAATGTGATGATCCAGCAATCCCATTCCTTAGGAAAAAATGATAGAGTATTAGTTGGGGCTATGTGCTGCAGACAGATAAAGCAAGGAGAGGACCAGCGAGGACTAGAAGGGGAATGTGATGATCCAGCAATCCCATTCCAGAATATTTATCCAAAAGTATTAAAATTAAGATCTGGAAGAGATAGCTTCATTCCCATGTTCATTGCAGAATTATTCACAGTAGCCAAGATATGGAAACAATGTAACTATCCGCTGACAGATGAATGGGTAAAGAAAATGTTGTATATACATATGAGAGAATATTATTCAAACTTAAAAAAAAGGAAAGCCCTTGCAGGTGTGGCTCAGTGATTGAACAAGGTCAGGGCATATGCCCTGGTTGCGGACTCAATCCCCAGTAGGGGGCGCACAGGAGGCAGCTGATCAATGATTCTCATCATTGATATTCCTCTCTCTTCCTCTCTGAAATCAATTAAATATATATATGAAGGAAACCCTGCCCTTTGTGATATAGAGGACATTATGCTAAGTGAAATAAATCAGTAATAGAAGGACAAATCCTGCATGATTCCACTTATATGAGGCATTAAAATAGTTAAACTCACAGAATCAGAGAATAGAATGGTGGTTTCCAGGGGTTGAGAAAAGAAGAAATGGGGAAGTGTTGTTCAATAAATATAAGTTATAGTTATACAAAATGTGTGCACTTGAAATTTTGTTGAAAAGGTAGATCTCATGTTAATTTTTCTTACCTTCCCCCACACCCTTCAAATAAATAACAAAGGGACACAAGAAATCTTTTGCAGGTGATGGATATTTTTATTACCTTGTGAAGACAGTATCAAAGGTGTATGCATGTGTCAAACTCAGCAAAATGTATAGATTAAATATGTGCATTTTTTTGTGTATTACATATACCTCAATAAAGCTGAAAAAAAATAAAACAGTGGTTAGAAAAAGGCAGTTAAGATGCTAACATTGATTTAATTCAGTAAGTTTCATTTAATCTTCACAACAAGCTTATGAGTAAGGGATTGTTACATATTAAAATAAGTTAAGGAAGGCAAATGTGGAGAAAGGCACTAAATTAAGCAGCCACAAATGGGTAAGATGGTTTGCTGCTCAGGAAACATATTTTTATTACCATATGAATCAGGGATGATGACATAGATGGCCAGATAATTCATAGAGAGACAGATAGACGGACAGACAGACAGACTACATGTATAAAAACAGAGTTGGTGACTGGGCTTTCTATAACCTTGCTAGTTTTTGTCAGGGCTCAGAAGACAATGTGTTTGTTGTCATCAGAGCTTGAAATGAGAGTCAAGTAATCTTTGGTTTGTCTTGCTCAAGTTTTAAAAACTGTGAAAGAAAAAAGGAATTTGTGGGAAGGATAGGGGACATATACTTGAAAGAATGTGATATTTATCACATTACATAATTATAGTACAATATTATTGCCTATATTGATTATACTGTGGATTAGCTCTTTATGGCTTATTTACTACTCGTTACAAATTTGCACCCTTGAACACATTAATTTTATCTCTCTCATCCCCTGGCAACCACCATTTTACTGTTTGTTTTTTTTTTCCAGATTTAACTTTCTATATTCCATACTAGAGGCCCAGTGCACGAATTAATGCACCAGTGGAGTCCCTGGGCCTGGCCTGTGGGATCAGGCTGAAACCAGTTCTCTGACATCTCCCAAGGGGTCCCAGATTGCGAGAGGGCACAGGCCAGGCCGAAGGACCCCACTGGTGCACGACTGGGGCCTGGGAGGGACGCAGGTGGTTGGCCAGCCAGGGAGGGACTGCGGGAGGGCTCCAGTGCGTGTCCGGCCTGTCTCACTCAGTCCCGATCAGCCAGACCCCAGCAAGCTAACCTACCGGTTGAAGCGTCTACCCCCTGCTGGTCACTGCACGTCATAGAGAGCAGTTGAGCGGCCTTAGCATATCATTAGCATATTACGCTTTGATTGGTTGAACAGCCAGCCGATCAGACGACCGGACACTTAGCATATTAGGCTTTTATTATCCTATATAATAAAAGCCTAATATGCAAATTGAACAAAAAAAGATGGAACCGGTCGCTATGATGCACACTGACCACCAGGGGGCAGATGCTCAATGCAGGAGCTGCCCCTTGGTGGTCACTACACTCCCACAGGGGGAGCGCTGCTCAGCCAGAAGCCGGGCTCATGGCTGGCAAACACAGAGGCAGTGGCTGGAGCCTCTCCCACCTCTGTTGCAGGTGGTCGGTAAAGAGTGAGGGGTCTGGGACTGTGAGAGGGATATCTGGCTGTGGGCCTAAGTTGGCAGGAGGATATCCTTGGAGGGGTCCCAGACTGTGAGAGGGTGCAGGCCGGGCTGAAGGAACCCCCCCCCCAACCCCCTCAGTGCACAAAAATTCATGCACCAGGGCTCTAGTATAGGATATAAGTGATATCATACAGTTCTGTCTTTCCCTGTTTGACTTATCTCGCTTAGTATAATGCACTTAAGGTCCATCCATGTTGTCACAAATGGAAGGAAATTCTCCTTTCTCAAGGCTGAATAATATTCCGTTGTGTATATACCACATCTTTTTAAAAAATCTATTCATCTAGTGATGAGGATTTGGGTAGTTTCTATATCTTGGTTATTGTGAACAATGCCGTGATAAACATGGGAGTGCATATATTTCATGAAAATCCTGTTTTCATTTTCTTGGGTATACACCAAGAAGTAGAATTGATGAATTATGATAGATCTATTTTTAATTCTTTGAGGAAACTCCATATTGTTTTCTACCCTTTTACTTTTGACCATAGGGAAGAATATTAGCAGAAAAATACATTGGATAATACAAAGGTTACTAAAATGAATTTGAGATTACTAGCATTTGAGAAATTTTTTCCCCATATAATTTACACACATTTTAATCTAGGAATACCAGAATGGGAATCAGTTCTAGGGTCTCATTCCCATACTTGTCTAAAACTACCTTTCTGACCTTTTTCTTGATTGCTGGAGGCACAAATTCTTGGTTGCTCCTCTCTCTTCTGAGGAGCTCCTTCCATCAGCCTTCCTATCCCACCTCTACAAGTAGGCTACGGAGAAAGTCCCTCGAGTTCTGTGGTTCTCAAATTTTAGAAGCACCAGAACCACCTAGAGGGCTTATTAAAACATATTGTCGGGGTGGCTCAATGGGTAGAATGTCAGCCCATGCACTGAAGGGTTGAGGGTTGGATTCCCAGTCAAGGGCAGGTATCTGGGTTGCAGGTTCAATCCCCTAGCCGGGGTCTGGAGCATGTGGGAGCCGACTGATCCAGGTGTCTCTCTCACATCAATGTTTCTCTCTTCCCCTTCCTTCCTCTCTATCTAAAATCAATGGAAAAAACTACTCCGGTGAGGATTACTAGTAACAACAAAATAAAACAACACAACAGTAGAGCAGCCTTAGCATATCATTAGCATATTGCGTCATACCCAAAATTTCTGATTTAGTAAGTCTGAAGAGAGGCTTCAGAATTTGAGCCCAGGAAATGCTGAAGTTGCTGATCTAGGGACTATACCTGGAGAACTGCCTTATCCTTTCAATCTGCTTTCCAAGGCAGGTTTACAAGCGGTTATACAGGATTCTTGTTAATGGTTACAAGAAAACATTAAAGGGATTACATTGTTACTAGATGGTCAAAGAAAGGCCACCCACACTTTCATTCTCTCCAGGGCAAGGCTGGTCCCCACCCCCCACACGCAACCCAGGGAGAACCCCAGTTTCCCCTACTGTATATTGCAAGGATTTAATAAAATTAAGCTCCTAAGGGACAGGTCTCTAAATGGTGGCTAGTTTCCTCTCACATCGCTAGTCATCCAACCACTCAGATCAGATGCAGTCACATCCTGCCGGCTCATTAAGGGGTGGGCTGAAGAGATATAGGCAATGGCGCCACTAAGGACAGAAGGAAGTCCCAGGTGCGGTCCCCACGGGCACCTCGCTGGCCAGGTGCAAGGCTCGGGAGCAGAGGGTGGAGTTAGCGCCGCGCGGGAGCGTATGCTTCCGGCCACGTGATCACGCTCCGCGCCAATGGGAGGGCTGGACGTCAGCCCCGCTTCCTCACCGTGGCAACGGGCTGGTGACTACTTCCGGTGCTGTGAGGGCTCGGGGCTGATGCGGGTGAGTGTCCTTCTTGTCACGCTGTCCG